CCCCAAAACCCCAAAACCCCAAAACCCCAAAACCCCAAAACCCCAAAACCCCTCTAATTGTAATTATTCAATTAGAAAAGATAAGAATAAATTAAATCATTTATTACCAAAGTAAAATAAGCTTTAGAGTAAAAATATGATATTATCAATCATTCTTATAAATTGATGAAATCGCTGCTAGCCTTGAGATTCTTATTGAAATACTCTTCGATTTAGCTACCTACTTTCTTAATTGAACCAGTGATCACTTCGCTGAAACTGCTTTTGTGGTTTGAGTCAGTTTAGGATGCTGCTTCTTTTTCTAAATCCAGCAATGGGTTTTAGAATTCAGTTACTTTAACTGAGTCACCTATTGATGTTTCAATGTCATCGATCCAAGAATCATCCCAGCTAAAACCCTCAAAGTTCTCACTTTATTCATAGTCATCATAGATGCCACTTGAATAGTAGCCTGGGAGTTAAAGATCTTCACCCTCATGAAGATTCATTTAGTAGTACTTGCCACTGTAGTGCTCGCTTTGAAGAGTTCTGTTATCAATGGTGAGTGAGATCTTGAATTGAGGCTTTCTCTTGTCAGTCATACCGTATGAGAAGGAATATAATGCAATGGTATAGTAGGTATTATTGCCACCGATATCTCGAATTTGATAAGTGAACTATAAAATGATTATTATCTAAGATATAACTTACATTTCTTTGGTTAGCAATTGAGAAGAAATTGTCGCCAAAGGAAATATTATTAGTCTTCATATTTGGATAAGACAGCTTTGTGAAGTCAGAGGGAGTTGAAGTCTAGCTAACTCTGTTCAGAAGTAAAATAGGATAGAAACCAGGAGTCAAAGCTTGAATATTGATGACAGCTCTGAATAAATTGACTCTTGAAGCTGGTGTTTAGAAGTAGTACAGTTTAATGCGCTCATCCATATTCCAGTATTAATCCTTATAAATAATGCCATTTTCAAGTTGGTTTACAGTCTTTCTCTGGTTCAAGGAGAGAGCAAAAGTAGTTCTGCCCTAAGCTGATTGGCAGGTAATGTAGTAGAAGGCACCTACCTTAAAGTTCTAGTCAGTTTGTCTAACACTAATCTTAACTTCTTTGCTGCCTTCAGCATAGAATTGATACCTTGTTCTTGGACTTTCTGGGTAGAGACCAACATACATTATCAAGTATCCAGTGGAAACAGAAGCTTAAATCACAAATGGATCTTTTGAATCTAAAATGAATTTTCTAGTGGAAGCAGTTCCTGTTGCTGGCAATGTCAAGCTTACCGATGTATTTTATTGGAGTAAAGCTACTTCTTCACCTACATCTGGAACTTCATTGACACTGATTCTGTAAGAAGTAGTTCCAGTCAAATTAGTAGTGATTGTAATAAAATACCAGCAATAATAGCAGAATAGCTTATTTGCCCCAATATCTGACTTAGATACTTGAAGCACACCTGATTAAGATGCATTCAAGTAGACAACCCACTTAGAATTGTTGTTGTTAACTGGAAGAGCAAGCAACCCATTGTTATTGAACACTTCTTCTCCAACGAAGTTGATATAAGCTGAAACATTTCCTTAAGTCACATCAATATTGATTCTAAAATCTTTCTAGCCCCAGTTATACCATTTAAAGTAATTTGTTCTATTAGTAACTACATTACCTTGAAGGCCTCTTGTTATCTATTAACCAGCAGTTAGATTTGTGATTGTAATCGCAGTTCTACTTGGACCAGTCATTATAAGAGTAAATGATACATTAGGTGTAATGGCCTTAACACCAACTACAAAAAGTATACCATTAGATTTATTGTACCCAGCTTCATCAAAGAAGGATGAATTAGAGTTAACATAAATGCTATCAGCTCCTAAATTCTCAGAGGCGAAGTCATAATCTTCAGTTACTGGGAATCTACCATCTAATGAAGAAATATATAGATCAACATCACCTCCATCTAGAGTGGCAGAGGTAGTAATCTGATACTCCCAGGCAGCATTTGGGTTAGAAACTGAAACATTAGAAGTGAACCAATAATACTTATAATCTCCAGCATTTGTGATGAAATCTTATATTGGTTTTGTATCGTAAAGCTTGTTATCTTGCTTTTGGATCATTAGTCTGAATTTTGATGGCTTATTTTAGGTTAGCCCTAATACACCAATCATCAGTAAGCATGAATTATCTGAACAACGACCTGAGATAATGCTTGAGCATATTTCAATGATTTCAGGTTATGTTGGCCTAAAATTGGCTGAACCGATATTATAACTACTAAAAACAGGATAACTCCAATTAGTAAGGGATTTAGATACAGATTCACTCATTAGATTTACTAAAATCATTGAGTCACCATTTTATCCTATAGACCCAGTTTTGTTCAGTATGATTACCAATTCTCCTGTAAGATTTTTACTCAATGGGAAATAGAAGTATGAATATTGACCATTATTAACTTAACCTGTGTAGTAATTATTCTCAATAAGGTATTTAGGTAATGATTAGTTCTCTCTGCCTTAAATCTAAACTGTAATATTGAAGATACATTCACTCCTACATTCGACAGCGAGATAGAACCCACATGATTTATTGCCTCCATTCAAATTGAAGCCTGCATTATCGCAAAAAGCATATTTGCTGCTTCTATCAGGGAAAGTAACTATAATGCTATCTGTTACTTTACCTTCGTTGTCAGTCTTGTAGTCCCAGGACTGTACATCTGCTGAGACTGGGTAAATAGGATTGTTGCTTAGTTTCAATAGAATAGCTGGATCTCCAATAATTGGAATTACTGAGAAGTTGTAAGTAGCATTATTCTCTATGATGAAATGCTTGAAAAAGACACTTGACTCGTTTGCGTAGCCGAAAGTTTTCTCATTTAGATGAATATCTACGATTTAACTGGTTGGCAATTAAGAAAACACAAAGAAGTTGAAGATATAGTCTCTGGAAGAAATTAGATCTTGCATCTAAAAATCTGGTCTCACTCTAATGAAGTAGGTGTTGTAGAGTGAGTACTGATCATCTCCAGGGTACAGCACTATGGTATCATTTTTATCATTGTACTCGGTCACGTAAAATTGAGGGTAATCATTAGCCTCAAGGTAGAAGAAGACATTGTTGAAAACGACTTCAGCGAAGAAAACGATAGTTCTTTGCTCGTAACCAGCCCACCATGGTCTGAATGAATAGAAAGACTCTTCAAACTCAGTCTTATATAGATTTGCATAGGCGACAGAATCAGTCATTGGCATTGCTTTAACAAGTTTAGCATTGTACTCGACTTTGTAAACTGGCTCGAAGCTGACTTCATAGACACAAAAAGTAGTTGCATAAACTCCAATGTATAATGGTCTGTTCAAAGAGAAGTTGCCAGTATTGTTAAGTGATATTGAATCAAAGGTATCAGTACCACGAGCTTCAAATTGGTTTTAATCGATTTCAGGGTTTTGATCTACGACTGATACAACTAGATCTGCATCACCAATCTTTGATTCTAACTTTATTGTTAGAGATTGCAAGAATCCAAAGCCATCTGAGGAGTTTGGCTGGAGAGCGTAGTAGAAGTACTTGCCTTAAATTAAAACATTCTTAAAGTTTTGATCTATTGTGATATTCTAGAAAGCAGTTGAATTATAAGTCAGCATAAAAGAAGTTCTCATCGGCCCATTCTAATCTGGGAAGAACATATTTATCAAATAGTAGCAACTTGAAGCTCTAGGACATAATGTTCTATTGTGGATAATGTTAGCCGTTCTGGTATTACCGTTAGTAACATTACCATTGCCCGAGGCGATTTCAATCATGCCTTGGCCTCTCTACTCGGTAGAATTCAAAGAACAAGCAACACCATCAGTTGAGGGACATATTTTATAGAAAAGTCTAGGTGGCTGTTGACCACTTGATAAGTTATAGGCCGTTAGTGAAACAGTCATATTTCCTGCATAGATGAACTTACTGTTTGTGTATCTAAAGTATTAGGAGGAATTTTTCTCAAGATTCAGCATGTAAGATACACCGTCTCTAGCATCATATCTTCCTCCATAGTTGTCTTCATCAGCATCTATTTAAATTGTTGATGTTGTGAATCCATAAGCGCAGACATTCATAACTCCAGTTCTAAAGCCCCATCTAGTTCTATCTTCAGCTGTAATTATTAGGCATTTGTGGGGAAATCTTAGGCCTTGTTATAGAATTCTAGTAGTATCTAGATAGTCGTTAGGTCTTGTGCTAGAACTAATGTAGAAGTCAGTATCACCTTGATACTGTGTAGAATATAGCATTACGTCATTGTCAGCAGCTAGAGCAAAGTAAAGCACACATTCTTGCTGTCTAGCATTTATGATCAAATCTGACTTTTCCTGAGTAATAGTGTTACTTCTTGAATGTGATGTGAATGTGACATAATATCTTCCATCAGTGTAGACATCAGCTAATAAGTAGATGTAACAATTAGTGCACCAACCGAAATCGTTTTCAGTGAACATGTATCCAACTCCCTGCTCCAGAAGGTTTTCAATTTTTCGTTCTTCCATCTGATAAATAGTGTTGTCCATTGAGAGATAGAGATCAATTGGAGTGTAATCGTCTTCAGAGTGCATTGTGATAGTCACTGCTCTTGTAATTCCATTAGTGTTCACGGATGGGATTTAATAGCTGAAAATTGTTGAGCTGTACCCATCAAGTCTGATCTAGGTACGATTGCTATCTTTCATTGGAATTTCAGAAATGTAGTTGGAAGCGATGGTATATTAGCAAGGATTGATGCAACGCACTCCAATGTATAATGTATCACCCTGCTTGATGGTGTCCTTGCTAATAATGCAAGTGTCTGAACCTTATTTGGTACAATACCACTGACTATCTAAACTTGATGTGGGCAAAGTATTAGTCTATCAAATCATTAACTTCATTTTTAATTACCATTGAAATAAAAAGATCTGGATCAGAATCATACTATTCTGGTACGACTTTAATAGCAAGGGACTGTGTACCGTCAAAGTATCGTTCACTTATCAACATCATATAGTATCCGTAGCTCTTATCGTTCAAAACGTTGCCCTCATAGATGACAGTCTCCCAAATCTCTTGATTAATGAGATTTGTTACTTCTTGACTGAGAGTTTTCTAAGTAAATAAGGCAGAAAAGCATAAAGTGAGTAGTATCAGCGTCTATAGTTTGGGACGCTACAAGCGCTAGTCTTAGCAATTAAGCAACTTCATAATATAATATTTCTATTATTTAAACTTTATTAATCTCGACTATCAATTTTCACTAACGGGGTTTTGGGGTTTTGGGGTTTTGGGG